CCCAGAGAGATGAAGTGATATTCCCAAGCCAGCACTGGTAAGTGAGCCAAACTGATATACATCAGTTGCAGGAAGGAATAAATGAACTCAATACTGGTTGCGGGCATGAATGAATGAACGACTCCCACTCAACTGTGCCATTGACGGTCCTGTGCTCTATGATGTTCTGAATTGTACAGTCTTAGACTAGTTGAATTGTGTCCCTCCGCCTACCAAAATGGTGAAGTCCTAACCCCAGTATGTCAGAATGTGGCCTTTTGGAAATTGGGTCGCTGCAGATGTAATTAATTAAGATGCAGTCTTAGGGTGGGCTCTGATCCAATATGACTAGTGTCCTTAAAGAAAGGGGAAATCTGGACACAGAGACAAGACTCCACAGCGGGAACCCGGCCACCTGCAAGGCAAGGGGAGAGGCCTGGGACAGACCCGCCCTCACGGCCTCAGGGGGAGCCCGCCTGACTGACACGGGGACTGCAGCCTCCCGGCCTCCGGATCTGTGAGAGCACTTCCCATTAAGTCACTCAGTTGTGCCTTGTGACGGCAACCCTAGCAAATGAATACGTACAGTATTCAGTCCAGCCACGCAAAGGCAATTTTCATATAGGTTATGTAGGTGAAAGGTGCTACTTGCTCTTCTAGCGACAGATTTATTTTTTAGAGAGTTTTCTCTCTGAGGTATTCCTGAGTCACAGCCCATGTCCTGTGACTGGAAGCGAGGCACCAAGAGACAGGAGGCAGTAGCCCTCTGGCCCTCACCTGGCCTCTGCTTCCCCTTGTGCAATGCTGACGCCATCAGTTCCCCTTCCCCCTGCTTCCTTCCCTTCCCTGGAAGTGCTCAAGGCGCACACTTTCAAAAGTCCACTGGCCTCCAGTGAATTTTCCCAAGCATCAACAAAGTGACTTCAGAGTCCCTTGCAATGCTGCACTGCCGGGACTGAAACAACTTCACTGGGAAGCCCTGCGCAGACGGTTCTCTTCTGCTGCAGTTGTTGGTGTGTCACTAAGATGGATGTTTGAGGCCCATCGCACACCAGTCTGAGAGATGGTTACTACTGTGGGCAGAAGAAAGAAGTCTGACTGCTTTAGATCAGTGAGTCCCCCAAACCTGGTTGCCCACTGGAGTCATTCTGGGAACTCTTAAAAAGCAGAAATCTGTGGGGCTCCACACCAACTCTGCAGATTTACTGGGTGCGTCAGTGACAGGGAATGGGAACTTACCAAACTACTGGGGGGATTTCAAAGTGCAGCCAGGTTTGGTAACCATGATTTAGGACATCTGGTTTCTGTAATAAATTTCAGCTTTGTTTCCTACTTCCCATATTTATATACTTTCAAGCGGACTTCCTAAGCACACTTGTGAATGCATCTAACACAGAAACAACATCTCACTGGCTATGTGTTAAAACACACACACATTTGAACAGACAGCATACGCAAAGCTCCTTTCTTGCACAAAGGGGCCCCATCCACTGGGTTCCCTCTCCGTCACAATGCCTCTCACCAAGCTCCTTTCTCACACCTACTGTCAAGGTCTCCCCCCTCCTTCTCTGTCCAGCCTGCACAGCTTTACACACTTGGGCTCCCAAAGCACTTTGCTGCTGCAAAGGCATGGACGCCTCTGCTGCATCCCCCCAGACCTGCTCCTCCACCTGGCACTCCAAGCTGTGGCCATCCAGCCTGACTGCTGGCCCCGGCGACTCTCCCGGCTCCCGTACCCTACCTCGTACCTCTGACCACGTGCCGTGCCAACACCTCTGCCCCATCTCCACAGGCTGCCCAGGCCGCTTCCTCCTCCTCCTCTTCTCAACACCCACCATGTCTTCCACCCCCTTTTCCCTCCCCAACGCTGTCCCCTTCAACACTTATGATGACGTCTTGCAAACTTCAGGCATTTCCCTGACAAATATACTGTCAGCATCTTATTATTTTTCTTTAAATATTTACCCAGTTTCTACTTAAACTTACTTTAGAAGTTAACCTTATACCATAAATATAAAAATAGTACCCCCTGCTATTATTATGATTGGTACACATGGTGTGGGGTGTCTGGGGGAAGACAGTGTAGCACAGAGAAGACAAATAGTGACTCTACAGCATCTCACTACACTGATGAGCAGTGACTTCAATGGGGTATGGGGGGGACTTGATAATATGGGTGAATGTAGTAACTACTTTGTTCTTCATGTGAAACCTTCACAAAAGTGTGTATCAATGATATCTTAATAAAAACAAAAAACAGTACCCCTTGCCGTAAATATAAAGCATGAAAATGCAGAGGACACAAAGTCAATCTCGCTAGACCCTGTCTACCAGAGCTTTGGGTGTCAAGGTCTTTTTCTCAGGAGCTGAGTGGACCAGCCTGCTGCCCCTCTCCTACCGCCAGCAGTCGTGTCCCGTCTCTGGGAAAGTCGGACTCATGAGAACGTGCTGTCGTCCAGCCATCTCTCACCAGCACGGCCAGAAGAAAGTGCTCTGGGCTGCTCATCTCTGCAGCATGCCCACACTCCCTCCTCGAGTGTATACTTTTGTCTTACCAAACTTCTCTTTGCTTGTACCTTCTGTATCTGCCTATGAATTCTTTCAGCCAGAGTGAAGAACCCTTTCCCAGGTTTAGGTCTCACGTAGGGTGCAGGGAGGTCCCATCAGATTGGTCTGCCCCACAACACTACCACGATTTGTTTATCCACTTACCTGCTGATGGGCATAGTGGGGAAGCTGGGGCTCCCATGGCCAGGATCCTCACTGAACTTAAACCACTTGATGATTTAACTGGCCTGTTGCTAGGCTACTGCTTTCACACCCGTAGGCAATAAGCTATTATTGCGCTATATAGAGAGCTCGGCCCAGCGCTCTGGGCGGAGGCAGAGACATTAGTACTCGACCTACTGGGGGAGAACAAGCCGGGTAATAAACGTTTTCACTCCAAGAACATCCTACTGTCATTTATTTGGTTACACTGAATCCATAGTGAACTTGCCTGGGGCTGAAACCCACTGGCAAGAGAGGTATTTAAACTGTTTCTAGTTCTAAGCTATTACAAATAAAGTTGTTACCAAAATAAAAAAAGTAAAGGAAAAAACCCAATGTGCTCTGGTCCTTGAATTCCAGCAACATCTTTAGGCTTGGAATGTAACCTCAAAAGACAAAGCAGAGTCTGACTGTTTCCTGTAACTTATGATTCCTGCAGGACTGGTCTCCAGAACGCAGGGACCATGTCACCTACATCCTATTTCCCTTTGGAACACCTAGAACATCCTAACTTGGGAGATGTAATAAATATTGGTGAATAAATGACAAAAATCAACTCCTGAATGCATTGTTTGAATTTCTTTTCTTTTGTAAAAGCTTGTGAGACAGATTCCAAATTGTATGATGGCTTCATATAATCCCCCAAAAGTGGAAACAACCCCATACCCTCGCTGACCTCTTTCTGGGCTCAGCCGGGGTGTCCCATGGGCTCCTCCATGCCTGACTTCCTTTACCGAGGATCATTCTGAAACTAAAGTACATCCGTTCTGGCTTAAAGCTGCCCCATGGCTTCCCTCTGCCCTTAGAATAAAATCCGCAAGCCCAAGCGTGGCCCCCAGCCTTACCCCGCACGGTCCTTCAAGCTCATCGACCTCACTCCCGTCCCCACCCCTACCAAACTGTGTTCCCTGAACAGCGAAGTCCTCTGACCGAGTTTCTGCTCAGACTTGGCTCACTGGCTCCTTCGCGCCCTTCAGATCTCAGCTCAAACCTCCGAGGTGCTCTGGCGACCACCACTCAGGCGGCCCCTCTCATTCTGGTACATCACGCTCTGTCCCCTTCCTAGCATTTGTCACAGCCAACACTGCCTTGCTCAGTTATGTGACTGTCTCTCTCTCCAATGGCAAAGTGGGTTCCAGGAAGCCAGGGACTGTATCAATTAAATCCAAGCAGAGTTAATACAGGGGAAAATACATCAGGAGCTTTTGACATCCATGACACTAAACTAAATGCCAGGCTTTCCACGGGCTAGCAGAACACCAAAGGCACGACTCTTCTGGGCTGCAGCAGCAACACCACAGAAGCAAAGTCACCAGATTTTCCTTCATGTGAGCTGAGCAGACGAGCTCGTACACCGAGTATTTGCTCACTCATGTGAGTGTCTACTGAGGACGTGCCACTGCCCTGCAGAGAGTAAGCCCTGGAGGTGAGGAGATGGACTCCCCAATCTCAAACCCTCACAGGTGGAGCACAGAGGATTTTTAGGGCAGTGGGAACACTCTGTAAGATGCCCTGGTGCTCACACATGTCATTACACATTTGTCCAGACCCACAGCCATGTACAACACCCACAGGGAATTCTGATGTATACTCTGGCTGTGGGTGATTATGGTGTGTGAATGTACCTTCATCATTATAACCAATGTCTCACTTTGATGGGGGTGTTAAGGGAATGGCGGCAAGGCTGTGCATGTGTCAGGGCAGAGGGATTACGGGATATCCCTTAATTTCCTGTATTCCCTCACTTTCCTCCTAAATTTGCTGTGAACCTAAAACTGCTCTAAAAAACATAGTCTCATTAAAAAAAAAAACCTTCCCAGTTCATCCCCTAACTACCCATTCCATCCTGATGAGGCCAGTGGGACAAGGTGCCCAGGGAGTGGGGAAGGAGGTCTGGCAGCAAGGATTCACAGAGGAAGCAATTGCTCTGGAAGTAAGTCTCATGGGGAACAGGACCCCTCCAGCTGGTCAGGTCAGAGGCCAGAGAACAACGACACAGGAGAGAGTGGCTCATTGATGCAACAGCCTGAACTTGGTTTGAGCTGGCCAAGCAGGAAGGTACATGTCACAAGAGGCGGCTGGAGTCTTATGCTTCCAGCAACGACCAGCCACGGGGGGTTCGAGGCAGAGAAGCACTAATCAGATGCGTGTTTCAGAGGAACGGAAGGATACTGAAATGCCACATGGAGGAAGGGACCCCAAACCACCTGATTTCCTCAGCTCCTGAGAAGGAACGAGGGTCAACAACTCACCGTGTGACAAACTTCTGCTTTTATCTCCTTCAAGGCTCGTTCAGAAAACACGCAACCACAGCACCTCAGGAAGCAAAACCTGGGGGAGGAATCCAATGTGGAGCATGACTTAAGTGAGAATGACAGAGTTACCACCTGCATGATCAGTCAGCGTTTGCTTAGTTTACACAAACGCCAAGAACTATAAAGAGAAAAATGGTTACACTTAATCCTATTAAGAAAAAAAATTAGTCTGTCTAAAATATATATATCTCGAAATTAAAACCGTAAACACAGGCCAAAATCCCATTCCTGTCACCTTGCAATAATCCTCTGGGAAAAAAGTCTCTCCTATAAAGATAAATACATCAAAAAACCCCACAAACATAAAAAGTTAGAAGATAGAATAGTAACTCAGGGAGAGGATATTTTAAATATGTATGAGATTCAGAGTAGTAAGACTATACAATAGAAAAACAGGCCTAAGGGCATTAATGTGCTGTTAACAAAGGAAATAAAAATGGCTGAAGCATATAAAAGATGTTTAACCTCAAGTATTAAAGAAATGCATTTCAAAGCAATAACATGTTTCACCTCTCAGGCAATAATGAAAGAGACTGAAGGTATCCAGTTGGAAACCGAGGAAACAGGCACATCTGCCGGTGGATGGATACAACACAGCACATTTCAGGACAGTATGACAGTATTAGGTGAAGCATCACTTTTCAGAATTTCTCCTACAGAAACATGCTCACACGTGTGCACATGCACAAATATTTATGAAGTTGTGTAGTACAGTATCGCTTGTATCAAGACAGAAAAGGAAACCACCTAAGTGAGCATTAGTGGAAGAATGGTTAAGTAAATCATGGACACTCATACAGCCGTTAGAAAGAGTAAGATACACATGGCCATGAAAGCATGCTCAAATTAGAGAAGTAGGAAAAAATTCATGTTACAAAATATAATAATCATTCCATAACCGTGGGAAGAATACACGTTTGTTTATATTTCTAGGGAAGTCTAGGGAAGCATGCCCTAGCATGCCCTGGCAAAAACCAAGTTCACAACATTGTATTAAATTCATTCAATGTTGTTTAGGACAAAAAAAAAAAAAACCAAACCTATTTTATGGACCCTTACTAATTATTAGTAATTTTAGAAAATTGTTTTTCTTTAAACAAAGACTTAATGTCTTGGTTACACTAGTAATTTTTTTCTGTATTTCAATTTTTACTTAATTCTTTATTATACAAAGTTTACTATATTTACAAACTAACCCCCAAATCAATTTTCTAGTGGGGAGGCCCTATTAACAGCAGGAGGGCAAAGCTCAATTGTGTGGGAAGAGAAAAAACAGCCAAGGTCAAAGGGCACCAGCAGGGAGAAAGCTCGGGAAGCCACAATGGGGGCAGCAGCTGCAGGCAACCAGCACAAGACTCCGCAGCTGAGCCTGTTTCTGCTAAGTTCTTCTTCTGGGGTGAACCACGGTTTTCTTAAAAAGAAGTGGGAAGCCAGACACAAAAGGTCACATATGATGTGATTCTACTCTTATATGAAATATCCAGAATAAGTAAATCCATTGAGAGAGAAAGCACAGGAGGGCTGGGGAGGGAAGGATGGGGAGTGACTGCTTGAATGGCTGGGAGCTTTCCTTTAGGGTGAAGAAAATGTCTGGAACTAGATGGAGGTGGGATTGCACAATACCGTGAATGTACTAGAGGTCACTGAAACACTCACTCTAAAACAGTTAACTTTATGTTATGACTTCCACCTCAAAATAATGTGTGTACACACACACACACACACACACACACACACACAAAGTGGAACAAGGTTAGGTGCACGAGTCTAGTCCCCAGGATATTTCCTGCTTGACTTAAATGGTGAATGTAAATTTTTATTTTATTTATTCTTTTTTCTGGGCTTATGTAGATATAAATGACATATGAATTGTATAAACTTAAGGTGTACAACTTGATGATTTCATATATACCATTGTGAAATAACCGTCACAATCAAGCAAGTTAACATATCCACCACCTCACATAGTTACCACAAAATAGAACTTTATAGAGAGGCCTAAATGATTTAAATTCTGACTATCTAAAAAAGAATATAATCTGTAAAAGTACAAGTTCCTCAGGCCTAAAGTCGTCTCTCCAAATCCGTTAAGGCCAGGTTATTCCCCTTCAGAGCCTGGTGGCTAATCTTCCTGGAGGAGTTTGCCATATACAACACACATCTGTTGTAAGTGGAACAAGGTTAGGTGCACGAGTCTAGTCCCCAGGATATTTCCTGCTTGACTTAAATGGTGAATGTAAATTTTTATTTTATTTATTCTTTTTTCTGGGCTTATGTAGATATAAATGACATATGAATTGTATAAACTTAAGGTGTACAACTTGATGATTTCATATATACCATTGTGAAATAACCGTCACAATCAAGCAAGTTAACATATCCACCACCTCACATAGTTACCACAAAATAGAACTTTATAGAGAGGCCTAAATGATTTAAATTCTGACTATCTAAAAAAGAATATAATCTGTAAAAGTACAAGTTCCTCAGGCCTAAAGTCGTCTCTCCAAATCCGTTAAGGCCAGGTTATTCCCCTTCAGAGCCTGGTGGCTAATCTTCCTGGAGGAGTTTGCCATATACAACACACATCTGTTGAATGTATACAACAAATATGCCAGAATGTTCCAGATTAAGTGTGGTTGTTTATAGCTCAATTAAAGCCTTTACTTAAGATGCTTTCCTCCCACGTCCCTGAATGAAAACAGAAAAAATTACTACCTTTCAAAATCTAATGTGTTAGATGGAATATTCTAAGCAGTGGAAAGAGTTTAAAGCTTTTGCTTAGTGAGACAGCCTATAAAAAGGCACCCACAACCCACTCAACATGTATCTTCTTTAAGGGGGAAATATACAGGTCACTTACATTTGTTACATAAATCTCAACCTTAAGAGCTCTGGTGCTCTAGCCAGATTTGTTAGCTACAAATTCAAAGCAAATTATCATTATCAGCTGGGCCGGTAGCTGACTGATGGGACCACACATTCTGTAATGTTTTACACAATTTCTAGCGATTGTAAGGAAATGGGATTTGTTTGATGGGAAACATTTGTCCTTTGCTTTCTTTCCCATAGGAAAAGATCAAATAACCCAACTCAAGTTTTTTAAGTATCACATGAGAAACTTTAAGAATCCTGTGGGGAAAATGGAAGTTCCTATGGCCAGGATCCTCACCTGACCCTAAATTACATGATGATGGAACTGGCCTGCTGCTAGGCTAATGCTTCCAGGCCCGTGGGCAATAAGCTATTATTCACTGAGTCACTATATAAAGAGCTCTGCCCAGTGCTCTGGGTGGAGGCAGAAACCAAGGAGGATTACAGACCCAGACTGTTCGATGCAGATGTAATTCTAGGGCTTGACCTATCTCTGGGAGAACAAGCCGGGTAATAAACTCTTTTACCTCAAGAACATTCCATTGTCATTTCTCGGTCTCACTAAATCAGGTGAACTTGCCCCAAGCTGAAACCCACTGTCAAGACAAATCCCTCTTTGCTTTAGGTTCTCCTCCTCTCTAAACAGAAGGCCACAGAAAACAGAGTGCACCTGGACAGAGTATTACAAATGGCTGGTAGGGAATGATGTGGTCTTGTGCTGAGCACTGCTGTCTCCGTGGTACTATCCGAACCAGAGGACTCCTTAAAGAAGGGTGATGATAAAGCCACGGCACAAATCCTAACAGTACCGGTGTCACTTAACCAGGCTGTCATACCATCTGCCCCACACCCATCACTGACCTGTGTCGGCCATTCATCTCCAAGCCCACGACTGGGCAGATGAAACGTGCCCGCTGGAGGTCATCATGCTTGTCTCCTTTTGTGTTTCCTTTATCCCCTTCCCAGGCAGGATTATCAGAAAGCCTTAGTTCTGTCACATTCTGTGAAAAGCCACCCAAATTTTAAGAATTCATTTGATAAAATGAATCATCCTTAGCCTTAATAACCCACTAAATCACCACAGAAATTGTCATTTTAGTCCCTTCCCATACAACCCTTCTCTTCCAAGATACTTTTCTTTGTCTGTGAACTAAACATGGATATAGAATTAAGCCATCAATTGTGATAGAAAACAAGATTTTTAAAATTCACTGGCTAGCATATTCATTTCTACTTTACAAATATTTTGCTATTAAGAAAAAGTAACTTCTGACATGAAAAATTACTCCACTAAGAGAAAGTTCTGTATCAGTTTCAAGCACACAGAAGCATCTTTCCTTCAGTGAGGCTATTCCATAGTACTGACCAGCATGTTCAGTGACAGCTGAGCAGACAGTACATCCATGAGGCTAATGAGTCCAGGGCAGAACACTAGTCAGAAAATACTATCACTTTCCAAGATCCAGCCATTCAGGTCTTCAAAAATTCAACTTCACAAGGAGTATCTTAGCCCCGTTGGCCTTTGAGGCATTTCTTCACATGGAAGCACACCACTGATGTCAACACCTGGGGGAGCAGCTGAGTGCCTTGACAGGAAAGCCACCACCCGTACCCTTAGCTTCCTGGTTGACAGCTGGCATGTGTCTCATCAAGTTCACTGCTCAGAGTGTCTGTGGGCTATTAATTTGTAGTAATGATACCCTGTATATTTACATTGTTTTATTTGAATATTTTTGTCTCTACAGTTCTGATTTCTTGGATTTTGTTGTATTAAAACTGAAAGTGTAACCACATACATTGAATATTATGTTTAAGTATAGAGTTGTATGAATTAATTCCAATGATAATCACATTTCTGGGACAATTATGCTACCATGAGTGTTTTAGGAATGAATTCTCTTCCCAAAGTAAAAGATTACAAAAATCAGCATGGGCATTTCTAAAAACTATTATAAGCTACGTTTCAAAATTACTAATTTGCTGGAAATGAAAACACACTGTGTCCTGTAATGACCTCAAAAATTCAAACAAAAGGCCTAAGTAATAATAAACACTAAAAAAGGAAAGAAAAGCACCTTAGCCTGGGAGTCAGGGGCTCTGGTTCTGGTTGAAGGACTCCCTAACTAGCCACAGGGCCTCAGGAGGCCCTCACAACGGGCGTCTCACCTGTGAGACACGGGGCTGACAAGCTTGATGGCTCTCGTGTCCTTCACTACTTTTCTGATTTGACTCCCACTGACCAGACTTGAAAGATTTTGTCCTCTCAACAAAACTTCCTCTCCTAAAAACTTGCTTTTCCACTTCCATGAAAAAACTTGAACTGCCAATCAGAACTTCTAATCAGCAGGACATAACTACCATGATTTAACAGTGATCCACCTATTACTATAAAAGTGTCTTCCAAATAAAAAAATTCAAGTACCTGAGTTTCAACTACAAAAATAATGCCTCCTAACATTTATATAGCACATTAAGAATTTTCACAGTTCTTTCACCATATTAAATCATAACAGACTTATAACGCAGGAAAGACAGGTGTGGGAACTTCTGGCTTGAGCTTTAAGTGATCTGCCCAAAATCACACCTTTATTAGGTGGTTGGGTTGGACTGCATTCCAAATTTGAGTTTAGTCTATAATGAACATTAGTTCTACAAAATAAGCCTTAACCGCTGAGACCCTTCGAGCACTTCAGACTCACCCGTCTTACCTTAATGCTTTTAATGTGAGATGCTGCCTTCCCAAGAGCCTTTTCGGAAGATTTGTCCAGGAGAAACTCAATGACAGCATCTTTGTTATAAAGTCTGCAGCAATAAGGACTAGTCAAAACATTCTGGCAACAATCAACTTCACACAAAGTAGGAAGGCTAAACTGAGGACAGTCTGAAGCCATAGATATGTAATGACAGAAATGTCATGCATTACTAAAAAAGTAAATTTAATCATGCCTCAACAATTTCCAGAGCATACAAAGAAAGAAACTAGTTTAAATCAACAATTGTAATCTGGCAGTTGGAGGGCTAAGTGTGACCAGAAAAAGGATTTTAAAAATTGGGAATCTTAATATAAAAACACACATTATTTCCCTGAAAAAAAAAAAAAATCAAAAGTTCTGGAATCTTAGGCTCATATTCTTAAACTGCAACTGGCTGAACCCAAGTAGCAGTCACTCCTTCAGACAGGACATGACCTCTCCAGTCTCCCCCAGTCCCCTTTTCCTTTCTGGACAACACGGCTCCTTCATGCATTTACAATCATGACTTAGCTCCTATTGGCTTCTGAGTTTTCAATCCACGAATTAAATAAACCAAACTGAATAGGAAAAGGAGTAAGTACATTCAGAGACAAGGAACAATGATCAAGGTTTCTTAAATTTCCTTGAGATAACTCACATTTTATGACTTAAGAACTACATCTACACATTAAAATTCTTCTTAATATCATTTAACAAAAACTCATCTTGATTATGTAAAGGAACCATACCTGCCAAGTTCACAGGCCACTATTGGTCGCCTTAATATTTCTTGACTTAGAGTACAATAGTTCCACTGGGCCACCAATTCAGCATCTTTGTCAGCCTAAGAAAATAAAAGAAAAACCTTTCAATTAATTTCACCTCTGAAAGACATATGGTCCACAGTTCTACATGTAAAGTCTTATTCAGTAATACCACAGTGATGACTTTGTTTTTTAAAAGAAAGATAGTGATGCACGAAATTGGGATTTAAAAAGCCAAAGTACCTGTCATTTGCAACAACATGGATGGAGCTAGAGGGTATTATGCTCAGTGAAATAAGCCAGGCAGAGAAAGACAAGTACCAAATGATTTCACTCATATGTGGAGTATAAGAACAAAGAAAAACTGAAGGAACAAAACAGCAGCAGACTCACAGAGGCCAAGAATGGACTAACAGTTACCAAAGGGAAAGGGACTGGGGAGGATGGGTGGGAAGGGAGGGATAAGGGGGAAAAAGGGGCATCATGATTCGCAGACATAATGTGTGGGGGGGCATGGGGAGGGCTGTACAACACAGAGAAGACAAGTAGTGATTCTATAGCATCTTACTATGCTGATGGACAGTGACTGTAATGGGGTTTGTGGTGGGGACTTGATGACGGGGGGAGTCTAGTAACCATAATGTTGCTCATGTAATTGTAGATTAATGATACAAAAAAAAAAACCCAGAGTAATCAACACAAGGTTAAATAAAGTCCCCTGTAAACATGACACCTAATGCAAAACATCAAGTTTACATCACGTCATTAAACTGCTTATACAAGCTACATGTAAATGTTAATGTCTGCATCTTAATAGTAAGTTAGGGAAACTGTACAGAAAAAAACAGCAGTATAGTTTAACTCTTAATAATGGGAAAGGTTCCAAAGTTTTAGCAGAACCCAAGGACTAAAAACTGAGAAGATAGACATTTTTTTTAGAAGTTCATCACAAAGACTATATAATTCTCGATAAAAATCACACATGTAAGTATTTTTTGCAATCTGTTCAGTAGGGGGCACGTCAAATCCTTATCTAACTGACAATCCAGATATAGGACCTTGTACACCCTGAAATGACAGTCACCTACACAATATTCTATGTCCCACTCTTCCCCCTCCTAAACTGTCAGCTAAATAATGTTAACAGGATGGTCCATTTTGGAGAACATAGAAAGAGAAAAGAAAAGAAAAATAAGCAAATTCCCTTAAATTTAATTTTTGCTGTGAGAGCTGCTTAAGTATTCACATGTACAGGCACTGTGTTACGCAGTTTCTGTGACTCAATCTTTCAGCCCTCATAAAAATCCTTGTTGTTGAAGACACAGGTAGTTGGAGCAGCATATAGGGACCCAGGTAGGCTGGCTCTGGGGACCATGCTTTTTATATCACCACTCTCCATCATTTTAAACAAAAAGCAAAACAAAACCCACACTATTGCAATTGGTATTTTATCTTTCCCCCAGATCCAAAAGCCACACTTTGGCAGCTTAAATAGCTTTTATCAAAATTCACACTGTAGTAGAGCCACAGAGAGACCTGTCACCAGTGAAGTTGATCTACTACATCCTTTGCAGACTCAAAAAGCCATGTTCAGCAAGTCCAGGACCTACTTTCTGGCCCCCCTCCCCCAACACCTGCTTCACTCTCAAGACTTTACTGATTCAAAAAACACTTGGGAAAGTTTGGGGAAGACAGAAAAGTAATAAATTACTCCATACTCAGGGATCTAAAAACAGTTCCCCCAAAAAACTTCTGAAAACATTTTTTTCAGGTCTCTTCTTCTTTCAGGGCAAGGTCTTAATGTTTTGCACTAGACCAAACAAGCCATATGAGTGATTAACAGATATTATCATATATTTATTTGAAACGTAAGCTGTACAAGGGCTGGATTCTGTTTACTGCTGTATCCCGAGGACCTAGAATGGTGTAAGTGATGAGCACTTGGTAAGTATTTGTTGAATAAATGCGGATAACAAAAATCAGTCCTGCCTGAGCATGCTGGTTCTTTCAGATCACCCTTTCTTCTTTTCTATCCCCTTCTGACACCTGTTTCTTGCCAAGCCTTTTATTAAGCTACAACTCTTTGGCCCTGGGCACAAGTTAAAACTGAGGTTAATACTTTTTTGGCAAAAGCTCTCATGGGTATTAATTATCCAGCATTAGTCTATGGATACATAGGTATGATTAGAAGGCACACTTCATCTTCTTGGGTGTTGATTCATTCTCAACACATACTTACTGGGTTTCTATTGTGTGGCAGACACATTGTGGGGATTACAGAGGTAAGACATATAAGGCCCCTGTCCACATAGGAGAGAGATAAACAATGAACAAATAAATGCAGTGATTAGTACTATAAAGAAAAAAGTAGCAGAAGAGGACAGAGTGACTGGAACTAAGGTGTACTTCAGGTACAGTGGACTGGGTAGACTGGTGGCATCTGAGTAAGCACTGAATGAAGAAAAGAAATGATATAAATAGCTCACTGGAAAACATATCCAGTTGAGGACATCATACTCCAGGCTAAGGAAAAAGGCTTGAATAGCTGGAACAGAATGGAAGAACTGAATGAAGATGGTGGTGATGGTGGTGGGTGGGTGGGTGTTGGGGAATGATGAGGTGGAAAGAAGAGGCAGGGGATCTAATCACACAGGGCTTTGTGGGACTTTACCCTGAATATGGGAAGCCACCAGAGTTTTTAAATACAGTAGTGACATCTGAGATTTACCTTTCAAAAAGGTCATTTTCTGGCTCTGAGAATATGTAGAGCACACACATGTGCCAGGCACCATATTATGTGCTTTGGGTACCTTTGGTTATTAACATGTAATTACTGACTATTAACTACAAAGTGCTAGCTTTGAAATCCTGAATAAATGGATGGGGATTCTGGCTTCATTACCTGCCTGTTGTGTGATCGTGGTCATGTTACTGACTCAATTTCCCTGTCAGTGGCATGGAAATTGTTACATATAATTTGCTCAATTACCTATATGAATTAATGATTATTCACTCATTCATTTGCTCACTATATTTATTGTGCCAGACTGTGCTAGTCGTGGAGGGGGTACATGTACAGCCTCTGCCACGAGGAGCTTACAGCCCTGAGACGGACGTCAATCAACCACGAATGCAGTACACACGGTGGTAAGATAGTTTTTAAGAGAAGGACCTTGTATGGGGATAAAAGGGACGTTTGGGGAAGATTTCCCCGAGAAAATGAAGTCAGTGTATAGGAAGCTCAATCAATAAACATCAGCCATTTGTATCATTGTTACCACTGTCAAATAGGCTTCAAATACTGGCTCTGCCACTTCCTAGCTTTGCAATTTTATCCTCTTGACCCTCAATTCCCATGTCTGAAAAGTGAGGATAATGATACTATGTACCCACAGGGCTGTTGTGAGATTTGCATGAGATACGCTATTCAGCGTACTGCCGGGTAAATGGCAATACGAAGCATTCCATAAAGGCTCGTTATTAATACTACTGTTAATTTTGGATTCTCCAAATTGGAAAACAAGCGCAGCTACGTCTGGTACACCGCTCGTTGTCCCCACTACCTCCCCTCGCTCCCAAGGAACCCCCATCACCCCGGCCCCCGCCCGTCCCATGTCGCTGACCTTCTCAACTTTCTTCGGCCCCTTCACCAGTTCGTGCCTCTTGGGGATAGTGCCCCCGTCGCAACCCATCGCCAGCCAAGAGAGTCAACAACAATCTCCCGCAGCGACCACTTCCGGGGGCACTGGCGACTGCGGCAGCCATTTCCGGCGCGCCGCAGTGACGCACACGTCCCGTCCGACCCCCGCGGGGCGGGGCCGTTGCCAAGTCCCGGTTATCATGGAGGGCGTCGTTGGGCGCTGGGCGTGGCCCCTGGGCTATGGCTGCCGAGGCGCTGGAGGGGCCTCTTGTGCGAAGTAGTGTGCACGCGGGTTCCCCTCTCCGGGGCGGTGGCCTGTTCCTTCCTCTTTCCGGTGGGCACGAGGTTTCTGCAGCACCACCACCGTATTCGCGCACCCTCGCCCCGGGGGCGGCGGACGGGCTGACTCAGCACCCAACGCTCCGGGGCCGTGTGTCACCCCAGCCTGGCTGGACCTGGCGCCTCCCCAGACTGCGAGCTCCTGGAGATAAAGGACCGCGTTTCATTATTGCAATGAATGATACATATGAATGGAACCTATTATTTCAGTTAACATTTACGTGTTTCAAAAGACAACGTATCTTTTTATTGAACGCCGATTGTGTCCTAAGTACTCAATAAATCCTTTATAGGAGATTCTAGGGAAGTAAGATTATTCCTCTCAAGCCTGAAATTTTCTGATACTGCCACGTATATTGTCTGTATATGAAGTATCGCATACAGTTTGTACATGTATGTATGTCATTCACAGCCTTCTAAAACCCAGGATAAAAAATTTTTTTAAGTAGGTATAATTAACAGATGCAGATATAATTAGAAAAGGTACTCTGATATTTCCATGCCTTGTCCAAGAAACAGGATGTATTATATAATGAGAACAAATCGTTTACAAAACCCCTGCTGGAATCCGTGATTGCCTGCTTTCATTCTCTTGGTTCTCTATTCGTTCCTTTAATTATTAAAATATTAGAGGAAAGCCTATCCACAGCAAGTAGGGTGGACTTTTGTAATTGGATGTTATAATGCTGACCAAAGTGGACATAAAGAAGTGAAAATATTCCCCACTTGGGAACAGAAAATAACGTGGATATGAAAACTTCAAGAAAACTGGGTTATAAGTGAGAGCTGGAAATGGGTTCGAAGGTTACTTTTCTCCCTCAAAGAACAGAAAATCAGACATGGAATAGCATAACCCCAAAGATCTTCAGACAAGACCGTCATACCAGTGCTCCTGACAAGCAAATCCGCCCCTCACCAAGTTCATTTGGAGAAAAAAAAAACAAAAATAGAAGCTCTTCATTGAACCATGACTATGTGCTGGGAGACGTGGAGGCTTTCTTTCCTTTTGTCCTCATTACAACAAAGCAGGTAGGAGGCATATGCCTTCTATTTTCCAAATGACATAGCTGAGACTTAGATGTCCAGGTGTCTTGGGTCAGGGGCACAGAGTGGGTGAGCAGAGGAGTACATGAGAGGCTTTCTCAGACGAAGCCCACCTAACTACAAATACCATGTTCCTTTACCTCTTCCTGGAGCTACTGATGGCACACAGCAGTGCCAGCTGTGCAGGCGTTAAAGCTCAGGCAGTTAGATTTTTTTTTTCCTCTTCCTCCTTAGTTTCCTCTTTTAGAATATTGGTCTCTGGACTACTCTGGGCTGCAGGCTAAAACTTTTGTGGTTTATTATTATCCTCATTAGCAACTAATTGTGTTGACAGCTGCTGCGTGTCAGGCACTGTATTCAGTAGTGCTTTACTTGATTTGAGCCATTTTGTTTTTCCAGCCACACTGGCAAGCAGGTGTCATTGTCTGCTGCTTTTTACCACAGCCTTTGTTGAATGAACTAATGAAGGATAATCCTTTATAAGGATCCTTAGTGACTTTGCCATTGTTAAGCTGTGGAATTTTTTTTTTCTTAAGGTATCATTGATATACACTCTTATGAAGATTTCACATGAAAAACGTTGGCATACTACATTCACCCATCTTTACCAAGTCCCTCCCTATACCCTGCTGAAGTCACTGTCCATCAGTGTAGTAAGATGCCACGGAGTCACTACTTGTCTTCTCTGTGCTACACTGTCTTCCCCGTGACCCCCACTACACCATGTGTACTAATCATAATCTCCTCCCTCCCTCCCCACCCATCCTCCCCCACCCCTCTCCTTTGGTAACTGATAGTCCCTTCTTGGGGTGTATGAGTCTGCTGCTGTTTTGTTCCTTCAGTTTTGCTTTGTTATACTCCACAAATGAGGGAAATCATTTGGTACTTGTCTTTCTCCACCTGGCTTATTTCACTGAGCACAATACCCTCTAACTCTATCCATGTTGTTGCAAATGGTAACAAGTTCTCAGATTCAAAAAGACATGCGCACCCCTATGTTTATTGCAGCACTATTTACAATAGCCAAGATATGGAAGCAACCCAAATGTCCATCAGTAAATGACTGGATAAAGAAGATGTGGTATATATACATATACTCAAGCTGTGGATTTTTGAAGGGTGGGAGAGGAATGAAATTATGAAACACAAAAAAACCATCACCATTGAGAAAAATCAGTTATTTATTAACCTTTTTGGGGTAATTGGACCTCTTGGAGAATTTGATGAAAACTTTGGACTTTTATTCCCCTGAAAATATGCATTAGTACATAGGAAATTTTGCTACAGCCTGTACATGTGTATATTTCATTCAGAGCCTCCTGAGGCCCAGGCTAAGAGCCAGTACTTCAAATGATTCTACTGCCTATGTACAATAGTTCCCAAATATTTCAGACTTCTGAACTGCTGAGGGTTTAATTTCCTGTTAGCTCTGCCCATGTGCTGTTCCATACCTGCAGTTTAAAATTCTGTCTGGACAAAACTGACATGTAGAGTATCGTATTTTAGGAGCATGAAAAACAACCCTATGTTAAGATTCTTGAAGACTTTCACAACCTTCATTTAAGGTTACACTTAGGAGGATGTCCCAAAGAGGGTGAATATAAAACAAAGTGGAAAACTGAAACAATTACTGAGCTAATTCAAGACAAAAAATTACCTTTAACTTGCCATTTTAGGGAAATGTTAAAAACATTCCAGGAATATACAGGCCTTACATGAACTGGCCCCTGGCTACGCCTCCCAGCTCATGTCACCTAATTGTCTTTCCCTCACATGGCTCCAGTCCCACCGGCCATCCACCTCTCCCTTGAGGGCACCAGGGGCACTTCTGCCTCTGTGTGCTTGCCTTGCCGTTCCTCCTCCAGAACACTCCCTTCCCAGTGTCTGCCAGTCTGGCTCCCTTGAACGGTTTAGCACTGTGCTCCGGGGTCCCCCCTCTCAAGAGCCACCTCTCCGTCCAAAAGAGCACCTCTCTTCCATCACTCTACCCACTACCTTGACTTAATTTCCTCATTGCATGTACCACCACTGGCATCCCATTACAAACTTAAATTTTGATGTCTTCTTCATGAATTTTTTGCACTGATGTTGGTTTTTTAAATAATGCATTGAAATATTTGTCCCCTTGAGTGATCTTGAGGTCCTGCGTAAACAGGAGGTACTCAGTAAGTATCTGTTCAGTGAATGAATGGAAGGAAAGGGCGTTGCAAATAAGCTACACAAATAGGCAACTCTTGCAAATGGGCAGTTTTTTGGAGACCTGGGGTGCATACTCTGGGGAGACCATAAATTTTTTAAAAGATGTTTTATAAAAAACAAAGTAGTTACCGTCAAACCAGAAGCATGACTCCCCAAGTGCTTGTCACATTGGAAGATCTCTTAACTAGGCTCCAAACCGCTTCCATCCTTCCGATGAAATTTAACTTAATTGAGGTCAAGTTGCTACCACACCACCAACCCACCATTTCCTCTTCCTACCTTGAGAGGAAACAGTACAGAATTCTGGGCATTAAAGAAAAATACTTAGCAAAAAGCTGTTAAAGGCTAAAAAAAAAAAGTAAGATTTCATTCTTCTTTTAGAAGTTTTCAGAAGTTATTATCCTATTGAATTAATCAGTGGAAACTCATTCCATAACTGCTGTCCTTCAAAAAAAAGGAAGTAAACACATTTAGCTAAGAGCAGCAGTTTTCATTATTTTTGAACCCAATGATTTTTGTACTTTGTCAACAAAGGTCCTTGGTTTGAACTCTTCTCAAAAATATACATAGATGGGTGGATGATAGATCTCTGTATATATTGATATCTAGCCAGCTTATATATATATACATATGTAGTGTTCTGAAACCTACAGGGACCCGTTCATTACCTATTAGACTCTGTCACTTATGAAGGACTAAATGAGTTAAAACATTCAAAGCATTAGAACAGCATCCGGAATGTAGTAGTCACTAAATATGTGCTGTTGTTGATACTATTATGTAAAATTAACTTTGCCCTCTGGAGTAAACATTTCCTGGTGCCTCCCTGCAGCCGCCCTCCTTCCAACAACATTTCTGACTTTGCCAGGGGCTCCTGTTGGACACAGTTCTACAGGGCTCACTTGCATTTCTGCATGACTTCTGAGTAAAGGCACTGATGGCAGTTTGTTCTGGACTGTCTTTTTCAAGGATGTTTGTGACAAACATCCTTGGAAGACAGAGATACTGTCTTCCGCCAGAGCAAAAGGGCAGGTTTGTTTTGCTGTTCAACATGATAAAAGATAATATCTCCCTCTGAGACAAAGCTTGGTCAAGTCTGCACAGAACCCGTTATAAAAGATTGGGGTTTCCTATACACAGGGCTCTTTGGCTTTGACACATACCCATTGTGTGTATAGCCTCACAAGCACCCACCTTTGCAAAAGTGTGGTGTCTCTGTGCAAGCGCTGACATAGAAGGCCCGACTACTATCCTCAGGAAGGCGGGCTTGCAGGCTTGCATGGTTGATGTTCGGTTGTTGTAGTGGAACTTGGATTTGTGAACAGTTCTCACCATGCCCAGAGTTGATAAAAATGACTCAGTGTGTCTAAGCCGTCTGTACAGGAGCTGCAATTCATGCTGAACACCTGCTTTCCCCGAGAGTTGGAAATGTTGGTACCTGTCACGCAGAGGCAGCCTACGTGATTAGCCCCTACAGGGATCCTGGTGTGTGGCTCTCTCGAGCTTGGATGTGGTTTTCGATCACTTCTAACAGAAGGACACTTACCTAACTGATACAAGTCTTAGCTGTTCAGAGACTGTGGGCCTCTCTGTCCTAGTGTAGAGACCCAAACTTCACAAAGATGGGGTCCTTCTTTAGGGACTCTGAGACTAACTTGGTGAAAATAACCAGACTTTTAGCAGTCAACAATTCAAATGCACCTACCGTGTGTGGAGTAGCAGACAGGAGTTGGACCTGGTATCATTTCAGGTGACCCTCAGTCTGGAGATGCTGTTTCCAGGCTACAGAGGTGTTTAGTGGCTGAGACGTTTGTATAAGGGACATGGACCTTTACTCAAAGTGAAGTTAGGGTGATGTAACCATAGCAACATGAACTAAAGACCCAGCTGACAGGAGAGGAAGGAGAGGTGGTTGGGCTGGAGGAGAGCTCTGTGTCACTTTCGGATCTGTGCCCGGCACAGGGCAACCTGTTCGTACCACAGCTCCTGGCTGCGCTGCTACGAGTGATGCTCTGCTTTTCCCTGTTGATCTTGCACTTGAGAACTTGGCCTCCCTGTACTCTTGAGGGAAAAGCATTTAAACAGCAGAAGTAAACACTGGACGCTTTGCTTTGGTACCAGAACCCTAGTGATGCCGATCAAAGACTTTTCCAAAGGGTTGTTGCAAAGGATGTTTCAATTCATGATTATGTTTACATAAGATTATAAATGGTAACAGATTTCAGACTGCTGAAGTATAAACCTTTTCTGGTTGAGCATACTAAATTTATTAACACAGACTCCACAATGTACGAAATAAATTAATAGGGAACCCAACAAGACAGGTTATGTTGTAAATATAATGTGCGTCTTTAGACACATAATTTGTACAAATCTCACAGGATTTGTTCAGTCGAAATTGAAAAACTTGCTACATTTTCTAGCAGATGCAACAGAAGTCAATCACTTGAGAATAAGTCTCCTCCTCATCTCCTACTTTATTTTCTCCCTAGCTCCTGTCATTGTATGTATGTGTTTCTTCATCACTCGTTGTCGTTCTGCTAGATTGTAAATTCCCTGGGCACATGATGTCTGTCTGATTCACTGCTGTATGCCCAGAACCTAGAATTTGACATATAGTAGGTGGCTAATAAATAAATACTGAATGAATGAATTTACAACAGGCATACATTTAACCAATATAAAAATTGGTTTCTACAACATCATACACTGACCCTACACGATATGCTAAAAACTTAGCAAGATCTTACTTAACAGCTAGCTCTCCTCCCTGACTCAGTCAATGTCCTGGGGTTGCCCAGCCACTAGGTAATACCGGCTTTGGGCACCATGGCTATCTCCGCCCATCGGTGTGCCCCAGGTTGGCTCTTCCCGTAGGAAAGAGTTGCACGGGTTGTGCGGTGAAGCTGAAGCTAAGAGGTTAAGGGGGAAAGGAGGGGGGAAGGAGGCTCATTCCAGTGTGCCTCTGAATTGCCGTGTGTGTTGCTCCAGCTTCTCAACCTTCATCTGGAGGTGCTCCAGAGCTGCAGGGCTCGGGTACCTGAGCACTGCATCCTTCGTGGCCAGTGCGAGGTCCTTGAGCAGGCTGCACAGGTGGCTGCTGCTGCGGAGGACCTCGTTGCGCACATCCCTCTCCTGGGTCTCCTTGCACAGCGTGTCCACCAGCTTCTGTCCCACCATGATGATCAGCTTGCCCTGTGTGATGAAGACCTCTGGGGGCGGGCTGCCGCTGAGGCTGCTGTTAAATACGCGGATGGCTTTGAAGAGCGCCCCAAAATAGAGCCGGCAATGTTCAGAAAGGTGGATTTTCTTCTCAGGATTCTGCTGGTTCAAAGGTGGGGGGATAAAGGAGCTAGGATTCTACAGAATGGGAAAAAAACAATAGATAAGAGAGATTCAATTAACAGGCTGTGGTGGTTTCCCTTTTCCTGTTTTTGCTCAATTTGCTAGGCTTTTTATGAGAAAAAGGAGGGTTTTGTGTGGGAAGCCCCATAGTGCAACATTTGCCCAACAAATTAGTGTTTATGTTTTCAGAGCACCGTTATATATAAATTACAGCATTTATATATATTACATATTATAAATTATATATTATGTATATACAATCTTACATATTATGTAGATATAATAGATAAGCCTATAAAATCTTATTCAATCCTCTCAACAAGCTATTCTTTAGAAAGAAACCCTTTCTAGAAACACACAATGACCACACTTTCAAAAAAGCAAGTAAACTTGATGGTGAGATTAAACCATTTAATCAAAGAACAGATTTTAGAGAATTAAAAACAGTCTCTAATTCCAGTATCAGAGGTAAACCAGAACCCCAAAAATTTCCAGAAGAAATCCAAATACGCTGACCTATCTGCCTGAATATGACAATATTTCTCCTAGTTGCTAATAAGGTTTCGTGTAGATTTTACTTTCATGAATTTTCCAGATTATGGAACCAACGTCTCCCCAAAGCCTGTAGACTCCTGAAAGATTCTCAGCATCTAATTAGTGACAAGCCCTCCAGGAAACACGGCTAAGGCTCTTGGTCAGAATATAGATGCGGAGGCTGCCTAGGGTCATTCAATTAGCAAAATAAAGATCTGGAGCCTTAAGCCACATCAGCTAAGCCTAAAACTCTCAGTCTTAACCATTAAATTGTCCACTCTCTCATCTACCTCTGATCTCAAAATTCACAGCCCAGAAGCACACAGACAGTGTTATGATCTGATTTTTTGGGTCCCTTTCCAAATTTAAACCAGTGTGAAAGTGGCAGGAGGAGGGGCCTTTGGGAGGCAGGAGCAGGTAAGGTCATGTGGGTGGGGTCCTGTGATGGGATCAGGGCCCTCGTAAGAGACTCAAGAGAACTGGCTTCCTTTCTCTGCTCTCTGCCGCCGAGGACCTGATGCAGGCAGCCTGAAGCTGGCAGAGGGTCCTCCCCGGAACCTGCCAGTGCTGGCACCCTGCTTTCTGACCTCCAGCCCCCAGAATCATGAGAAGTGCGTATCTGCTGTGTTTACAGCTCACAGTCTATGGTACTGTTACCGCCGCCCCTGGTGGACTGAGACAAGCAAAGCAAAGCACAGATCGGGGTGTTGGCTGAGACGGACTCAGGGGCCTGGAGGAACCAGCAGAGGCTAGAAATGAAAAGAGACAGTCTCTACTTGGGAATGCCGGCACCTTCGTGTGAAAGTATTAACTGTAGGTAAATGAAGATTGTACTATGATCCTTGTCCTGGGGAGCTGGACGTGTGTGGAGGTATTCCCGGTGCCCAGCAGGCAGTCACTGCGCAGTCCACCCATGTGCAGTCTCCATGTGAGGCCCACCCAGCACATGGAGAACGGACCATGCAGTGGTCAGCGCTGCCCCCGTCCCACTGAGAGGCACTGCCAGTCTACAGCACCAGTTCCCGGGTGTGGTTCTTAGACAAGCAGCGTCAGCATCCCTGGGAACTGTCAGGAAAGAGACTCTTGGGCCCCACCCGAGACCTACTGAATCAGAGACTCGTGGAGTGGGGCCCAGCCCTCTGGGTTTTAACAATCCCCATAGGAGATTGTGACCCATTTGCAAGTTTGAGAACCGCTAGTCTAAGGCATACTTCATGTTGAATAAAAAGCCTGACTTGGAGCAATCTGGTGGCCCGAAGTTTGTGTTTGGGGCTTGGGGAAATGAGCATCACGAGGCCTGGGTTCTGGTTCTAGTTTGCCTCTGAGAAGGCAGATGACCTTGCTCATGGTACTGGACGTTCGTGGCCTTCCCTCTCCCAACCCCACCCTACACCCCAGCCAGGGAGTTGATCTGGTTCCTGTTTCCCAAGTGGCATTTATTCAAATATTACTGAGTTATGCCCTTTCTGCCTCCCTCTTAACCTTTACTTGCTTTATCTTTGTCTTTGAATGAATCCACTGGTTTTATTTATATTAATCTAAAGGAAACTTCTCAAATTGGTAAGTGGAAAACTACTGTCACTTGCCATTAATGGAAGGTAACCAATAAAAATAAACAGTGATAACATCTTTGCTTTTAAGAAAGAAAAAGGAAGAACATCAGTGACAAAGAGGCGTCAAAGATACACAGGATGTTTGCTTTCATTGTGATCAGTAGCATTAGAAGACAGTACCAGAAGGAAAGTGAGTCCATGTTATTTAGTGCCATGTCAGTACCACCCAGGATAAACCTGCAGAGCCCCCAGAATTATTTCTCTAATGGTTAAAAGATCAGGTTCCACATCCTGGGGTTATAGTGATACTGTAAAAAAAAGGAAAAAGCAACACAAAAACCAGATCTTCTCCCAAGTGGGTCATGGCGATAATGTTGACTTATTCACATAGGGCAGCATCTCCAGGGATAAAGCCTATTAGAAGTCCTGCAGAGTCAGCATTATCACTGACCTGTGTTTCTATGTCTCTGTTTTCATGCAACCTTTGTTCCCAGATGGGTTTTTCTTTCTCTTCTAGATTCAGCAACCTCTGAAACATAAAATCCCTTTGATTACCAGCCTGAGTGGTTTTTACGCTACCACAAAGCCATTCAAGTCCACTTTAAAACTTGGGCATTCCTCTTTAGTTTTTGTTGATGGTCTGCCAACTGATACCTTTTTTTGACAAAGGAGACCTTGGCAGCCCAAGAACTGAATTTTGTCTGCCGACACGACCTAATATAATGACGCACAGGTTGCTTTTTAAAATTTATATATAAATTTTTAAAATTAAGAAGTGAGAAATATCCAAATTTCCAGCTTCTCTAGAATGTGTTCAAGTTCTTACATCAACCACCAGGAAGTTGAGCAAAATAAGATTTGGGCTGAAAGTGCCAAATTATCTCCTTGACACAGCCCCAGGTGACCTGCTGTACCGCTTGAGACTTGCAATGTGTGAACTAAAGGTTCTCTTTTGATAGTGTCTGAACTTAAGAGACAAAGTATTTCACAGAGTAACTAGGGTCTGGAGGCTGCGAAGGCCACACACGGCTGGGAGGAGTGTTTACACTTTCTCTTCTGTTTCTAAGAAACACACTGACAATGACTAACTTTCTGACTTTCAAAAATGGAAAGAAACTTGATGGTGAGATTTAAGAATTTGTTCAAAGAACAGATATTCTAAAGGGTTTTTGAAGTTCTTTCTAATCCTAGTATCAGAGGTAAATTCTAAACCCCCAAATTTCCAGAAGGCATTCTGTCTGCCTTACTATTAAGACATTTATCTTACTGCTTATGAGATTTCCTCTAGAATTTTACTTTCATAAATTTTATTTTGTGGAAAAAGGAACCAATGTCGCCCCCAAATTACTGGAAGATGACTGCCTTTCAATATACAATTATTGAATTGTAACAGTTGGAAGATTCTCAGCATCACACTTATTGATGACCAGACAAAAACTAAAACTGTGTATACGGCTTTATATATGTAAAGCCCCCTTTATACCACTTGGAACTCTGAACTCACCTGTTCACAGACATTTGTTCTATTTTTCTTTAATAATTCAGGGGAGTGTTCATTTTCCCCTTGTTTATTAAAAGGAGCACTCCTTTGGTACGACTCGATTTCCCTTTGGGGAGGCTGGATGCAATCTGTAAGCTTAAATTGTGCGTTTGGGGTCAATTGCAAGGTCTCTCCCTTTTCACAATTCTGCTTGAAAAGGAGCCTCCCATTGGCAATGACAATAGAGGCAAACCTTTTGATGTCTTCTGGAACCATCCGTGCCACCATGACAAATCTCTCAAGGTCATCTGGGCTGTTTTGGACTTGGTCAGTCACCAGGATTTCCAGGGACCAATTACAGCTATCCAGGCTTGCCTTTGTTTCAAGCAGGATTTGGTAGGAGTTGTAGATTGTCTGTACTTGATCCCTAATTCTGCTCTGAAGGTTACCATTGTTGAGGTTACAGGCAGTTCCACGGACTCTGTAGGCAAAATCCAGAAATTCTCTCAAAGATTCTCCTATGTGGTCGGCGGCCCTGCGAATGGCATCGATGTTGGCCTCTAGATGGTCTCTGAACCTCCATTTCCTACTTACAAAGAGCATCAGGCCTGCAACAGAGCTGGCCACCCTGTGCTGCAGGGCTGTCACTGTCTCTTTGGCCAAGTCTGGGTCCAAGGAGAGCTGCTTCGCTGACTCCTCAGAGAAGGAGCTAGATGAAGAGTCCGTGGATGTAAAGGAGCATGAGGAGACGACACTGGCTCTGCTGTCAGAACTGGAAATGGATAATCGATCTGGTTCGGGAGACAGAGATGCCGCCTGTCCAGAGAGCCATGAGGAATTATGATCCATGGAGTTCTCTGGAACCCCACTGGGTTTCTCCAGATCTTTTGCAGCTGGAGGGACACTTAGCGTTGCTTTAGGGATGTCGTAAATATTTGGCTTTGTGTTCTGCTGTTCCATTTGGAGAATCAGAAAGCTTGAAGGAGTCTTGTAGCTGACACTGTCATCCAAAGAGAATGTGTCCCTGGGCACCCGAAAGCTATGACAAGGAATTTCTGGAAGGCTGAGTTTTTTCTGCATGGGCCCGTTTCTTTGCAGGTGTGGAGTAAGAGACCTTGCTCCGGGAGGATTATGGAAGCTGGACATACACCTGGGGAGATCCTGGGACTCCGATTCTTCTGCAAAGCTGGTTAGAGATACATTTCTAATATCAGCCTTTTCAGGAGACACTGGGGTGTCGTAGATCCATTCGGATTTCTGTGGGCTCGGTAACGTGCTGTAGCCGCCTTTCCTTATGGCGATTGTTGATGTCACACCCTGCCCCTGTGAAGAACCACAAAAAGTCACCCAGTTTAGTAGCAATAAAAAGAGGGTGCGAATGACTCACCTGACAAATGTGTGTTATACTGAGGACTTACTAAGTGCTGGGCACTAGGCTTCTTTAAATATCTGCCACTCCCAGGCTTACACAACTTCAGTGGGTCCTCATGGATGCCAAGGCCCTTTGCAATCTGTTCCCTTAAGCCTCCCACCGTGCCTGCAACCTCCTTGTAGGTCCAGCCACCCAGGCTGATTACCAAGCCTTCAGCTCAGAACCCTCACTTATACTGCTATAGTTAATGTTGCCCAAATGGCCCTTCTGCTCTAAGTGACCTTCCATTCCTTTCCTTTCCACCTAATAAACTCCTATGCATCTCTCATGACAAAGCTGAGGTGTCACCTTCTTGGTAAGGCTTCCCTGATGACCGTGGGCAGGGCTCTACTTACTGCATATATTGAGAGAGCCAGTAATAAACACGGAGCACACAGGTCTCAAATTAAGGCATTTCCACTACCGTCAAATAAAAGCCTATTGCCACACAACACGTCTCTGGAGTATATAATAGGCAGAAGCATTTATCTGAGGTCTACTGAGCTCCTGCTCTGTGCCAAGCACTGCACTAGGTCCTCTGCAGAGATCGACCAATACTCACAGCAAGTCTGTAATAAGAAACAGAGGCATGGAGGAATTATAGGACTTACCCAAACCAGGCTGCTCATCTTGTCCCCCCGTGGTCAGGGGTTTCAAAGGAAATAAAATCTGCTCCCAAGAATGTGCAATCCTAATTTTGACTGTGCTAATAAAATGTCCCAGAAGGTGTTCAGGTTTTCCTGGCATCGCATCTCAGCAACTCATCATACTTACATTTGGTTGGCCGCCCGGAGCGCCGAGTCCTGCCTTTTGGAAGCTGGTGGGTGTGTCATATAACTGCTGCTTCTCTGGCTCCTGGGGAAAGACCACCAGTGGTGACAACTTGGATTTTCTCCTTCCTGATGGCTACACATCACTAACTCTCCCCACTCCAGTGTGTCTTCCAAATGAAAACACACATTACTGGAGACTGGGCTTCTGTCACGATGCTCTGATGGCGGAAGTTTATGTGCTGCAAGGGCTTTATTTCCAACAGTGGACTTCGTGCCTTAAAAAGGTGCCTTCTCCCCACAAGGTGGGGACAAACTACTGAGAGAATCAACAGCAGCTGCTGAATTAAAAATGGTAGTTCATTTCCTTCTGCAAATTAGCTTTAAGATTGAATTAAAGAAGAATAAATGAGATTGGGAATTAATCTCCTGTCTTTCTTGTTTGTTTTTCTCTGTAGAGACTTTCCTGTGCTTATAACTCCTGCATTCATTCTGCAACTATTTCCGGAATGCCTATGAACTACCAGACAGTAAGCCAAGCGACATACACGCACCCAGCGACGGGCGAAAGACATGGCACCTATAGAGATGATTTCTCGCTTTTTTTTGCACAACGATTAGAAAATACATATGTGAGGATGTGAAAAATAGGTTCTGTGTTCCAAAGCCTGGTGAGAGCACCAAAACAGGTTTCTCAAAGAAAGAGAGAAAAGGCTGGAATTTGGAGAGGGTGTTTCTTTTGAGTTGGGCTGTGTGTTTCCTGTGGACACCTCCTCATTCGGGGAAGGGTGGGGGTGCCTTTCACTCCCCTCAAACCAAGTGGGAAGTGCTCCAAAGGGAACATCAATGGCTTGAGTTGTGTCATCGGAGCTTGGGGTCACAGTGCACGGGGGCTAACTCTGGCTCAAGAAAAGTTAAAGGCGAGAACCTGATGACAAAGCTCGGGGTGGTGGCATGGGGTGGCCTGTCCTCAGGGCCGGACTCGTCTCCTGGGGCACATTTTAGGGAGCACCAAAAAGCTCAGGAATCAAAGTAAATAATATGTCAAGTGCAATATTATTAAAAATGACAACTAATGGGAAAAAATCAGGATGAACAAAATAACAACATTTTCAATAAAACTAGTATCAGTGGGGCTGGGATGAGGGTAGAGGAAGCAAAGTGAGCCGTGGAAATGTGTCTGCATGGAAAACTCTCAAACCCAAGGCACGCACCTCCTTCTCCTCATCTAGTCTGGGCCCAGCTTGCGCAAAGGGGGCACGTGGGTTTCCACTGACCAGATGCAGATCGTATGAGAGCTGGAGCGGGGCCAGGCCGGAAAGGGCGGGGGAATCTTAGGAGGACAATGCTGGAGTCTGTCCCAGAGCTAAGGGGGGAGCCCTCAGCCAGCAGCCGGAGGAGAGGCCTGGCCCGCCCCAGGGAACTTGCAGGTAAGAGATGCTCAGAGGCGTGGGAGGCAGGAGCTACTTGCAGGAAGAAAGAGCTACTCCAGAAGAAAAAGCATGCTTTCAACACTCACTACTTCCCTGAGCAACACCCCAACACCCCCCAACAGGACCAGGCAAGCTGGGCCTTTCTGCCTCTGCCCCTCTCCCTGCCTGCAGCCTCACAGGGGCCTGAGGCCACCTGGTGAGCCAGAAGGAGTGGGAAGCTGGGGTGGGGCTGTGCTCAGTGCAGCCCATTCTAGTCCCCAGGCCCGCAAGCAAGCCAGGAGGGCAGGAGCTTTTGCTTTAAATGAAGTATGACGCTCAATTATTGGCTGGACTGTACATTTAAATTCTTCCACTGAGAGTGCTTACTACCTTTGAGGGATCAAGGAGTCTCAGAGCAGGTCTGAGTTGGCGGTCAGACTGGAGGCTCTCCACCCTGGCTGTACTTGGGAATCCCAAGGAGTTTATGGTCCCGCCACCCAACCTGCAGACGACTTCTGTCTGTAAAGCTGAAATGCAACCTCTGTGATGCTGAGAACCCCATGCTCAGTGCAGAGAGGCCTAGGTCGAAGCTCACCTTCAGGGCTGGGGGCCCTCGGCTCTGCACAGGCACGTCGTACACCTGGGGAAGCAAAGCTGGCATCGAGACCCGAGCTGGCCTGGGGATTGTGAAGAGGGCCTTGGGGAGAAAAAGAAGAGCCAAGGAAGAAAATGTCACTGCTGAGTTCACGGATCGGGTTCCAACGATCCCTCAGAGAGCAGAGGCAGCCGGGCGCTGTGAGCAGGTTCTCCCGGCACTCCTAACTGGCTTCGCTCTGAGACTGGGAACCGCAGGATGCTGGTGGGAGGGCCCGGGGCAGAGGGCAGTCTTCCTCAGATGGGGACCCATATCTCCGTGGTGGGACCTCCTGGGGTGCCTGCACCAGCCTCGTCTGGGAAGTGGGTTAGAAATGCAGACTCCAAGGCCCCACAGCAGTTGTCCTGAATCTCTGAGTCCTAATGGGGCACCCCAGAATCCGCACTGGGGTCATTCTGATGTCCTGAGGGAGTCGTCACATCCTGGATTATTGACGTGTTCATCTAATGATGCCAAATGGCTGTGAGCATGACATGCAGAGGGGCTCTAAGGGTGTGAAGTGGAGGGACTAATGGGTCCCAGGGAGAAGCAGGGGCCTGTCGGAGGACGTGTCACTTGTGCTGATTGCTGGTCGGGAGCACAAGTGACCATATGAATGGTAGCCTGCAGCTTCTGCTAGCAAGAGTGGGAAGCACCAGAGAACTTGGTGATTTGGAGCGGTCAACAGTGATCCAATTGGAGAGGAGCTCCGAAGAGGAGAGAGATGAGGCAGGGGAGGTCCTGGTAAGGAGTCAGGATTTTATCCCACAAAGGGCAGATTAACAGTCATAGTAAGAGCCCCTGGTCACCCATGGCCACGCTGCTTTGGGAAGCTCATGTCTGCAAATGGGTTAGTTCTCTAGAACTCGCTGATGTTGAGTCTAGAGCTGGTGCCATGTCTGCTGCTCCAGGCAGCAGCTTCCAAACCCTGCCAGGGAACCAATCACCTGGTGAACTTTAAAATAATAGAGTTGCTGGGGCTCCACCTCATGCCTCTTGAACCAGAATGTCTCTGAGGGGACCGGGAACCAGTGATGTAAGGGGGGAGTGGATGTTGTCTGCCAGGGGCTTCAAGTCTAAAGGGGAAGATAAAGTGTGGAAACACCCAGGACACAGGCTGGCAAGCAAGGCAGAGCTGTGAGGCAAGACGAAGGTCAAGTCCAGAGAGTCCAGCAGAAGGAAACTGCATGTCCCATCAGGCACCAAGGAAGCTGTCACTGAAGGGGGCTTTCCAAATCAGATCCTGGGGGTGGTTAGGATCTTAATATGTGGAGACAGGGAGCGCCTTCAGGTCCGGGAGCAGGGTGTGAGGACTAGATCAGGATCCCTTTGTTCACGAGGGTGACCCAGCTCTGTGCCTCAGTCATTTGTTTTGGTGACAGAATGTGCACAGCCTGAGAGAGCAGGTAGCAGCTAGCGTGTCCCACCCCCCTGCATCCCCCTACCCTGTTCATCAGGCTGGAATGACCAGCACGATAAGGCAGCTGCAAAGCCAACAGGACAAGCATTTCTCCCTGGGACACACTCAGCTGTCAAGTGTCAAAACAACATTCCTGGGTGACAACTGCTCCTCAATCACAGAGAAGCCCGGATCTCTGAAATCTGGGCTCTCAGAAGCACTGCTGTCTGACATTCTGTCAGGAAGAAGGAAACATCCCACTCTTGCCAGAGAAGCAGCCTTGATTCCCGGCCACAAAGCAGAGCTTCATACGGGGCCTAGGACCCGACATTCTACGTCCACCTCAACCCTGTGGTTCCCGAGAAAGCAGCCTGCGTCCGCTCCGCAGTCTGGGCTGATGCTGACCCCTTACGCACTGGCCCACTTTGCATAGAGCCTATCAAGGCAGGGCCTCATTTACATTTCACCCAAAGCCCACCTTTCCCTCAGCCCCTAATTAATCATGCTGCCTTAACCTCTGCTCTCTGATCCCCTCATGCAGCGGCTAGTGAACCTGACTCCGTGCCTGGTGGTCTTACGCTGATTGGTCCAGGACAAACTCCAGCCCACAGGTCCCTGGGTTAAATCCAAGCTCCTGACAGGCCGCACCTGACTAACCCCAGGCAAGATGCGGGATGTGTCCCCAGCCATTGGCCATCACCTCCGGGCTTCCTTCCTCCCTGCTGCCCCAAACTCTTTCCTGCCACAGAGCATTTCAAATATGCTTCCATTGCCTCTTACTCCCCTATGACGCCCTGGCCTGTCTTATTTACACGCCTACGGGAGCACCTACAGAGAACAAGGGAGTTTCCTGTGTGTGAAATTCCACGTAGAAGGAACCAGTTCAAAAATGCTCAGTGTTTCTTGGAAAACATAGGCTCAAGATGGCATCAATTAGGGAACATGTTTGAAGAGCATGGTTTCGAAGGGTTTAGGGGCCAGAGGGGAACTCCAGTCCAGGAGCAATTTCTTGAGGAAATCTGATCCTCTTTACTTAAATACAAAAGTCCCCTCTCTCAATTTAAAACAAAATCAAATATGTTCTTTGTACGGTGATTTTTTTTAAAAAGTCAGACCAGCATATTATGTGAAGGAAGTTGGAATAAGAAGTAAAACAAAACTCCGGACTGTGGTTGCCCTGGAGGAAGTGACTGGGAGAAGGCACGGGGGTGCTAGTTTTGTCCTGTTTCTTGATCTGAATGCTAGTGACGTGAGCTATACCCGCAGGACCTGGAGGTTAAACCTCAACTGAAAGCTAATTGCAAAGAATAGACAGCGTCAGCCACAGAGGCAGGTAAATGAATAGCAAGCCTACCATGGCCCTGGCTGTCCCAGAAGCCAAGTGAACCAGGACTCCTGATTTCTAAGCCACAGGCAGCATCTCTTGCTTCAAGAGGCCCCCAAGCACAGAGAAGGCAATAAACAAAACAAAACAAAACAAAACAGGGGAGGAGGGGGCAAAAATACAGGTAGGACAGCCACAGAGAGAACTCAGGCAGGAATAAAGGCAGGAAAGTTCCCCAGGGGCTTCACTGTGGCCACCTCCAGAGCCCTAGGACTGCGGCCAGGTGCTCTTTTTCCTGAACTCCCCACGGGCAGCTGCGGTGTCAGTGATGGCTGCAGCCGGTACAAGGGAGGCTCTGTGCCGAGACACTTGATGCCAAAGACAAACCTTACAGCAATGCCCCGACCCTTTTCTGAGTTAAGTTTGGGCAGTAAACTCATCTGTCCTTTTACACCAATGGCAGTCTAGAAGTGGAAGCCCATGAGTACAAAGCCCTACGTTGTATCTGGTTACTTCATTCATTCAACAAATATTGATTGCACACCTTATAGGAGCAGGGGATTGTGCTGGGTGCTAGGGACACCTGGCCAACGGTGGACATGGCATACTTTCCTTTTAGAGAGGGGGAAATGGCTTTTGATTTTTTTTGTTTTCTTTAGTGGCTTTGAAAAGAAACCCAAATTTCAGCTAAGGCTGCTTGTTCTTGGAGGACCCACCACCGAAGCCCTGCTCTGAGTCAGCTGCTCAGACAGCAGCTGAGGGTTCCAGGCCTAGATCTGGGCCAGTTGTTTCAGAAAAGCAACTTAGGCCCCTCACTGACTGCTGCAGAAGGCTCCCACAGCTCCTTTTCTGTGTTTATAGCCAGTGCCTCTGAAAGGCAGCTGTTCTGTGTGACAACTGTCCAGTTCTCTGCCGGCAGCACAGGGAGTTAGAAAATCTGAAGCATTCAGTCTTTTAGGGAATCAACATGCTGCCGTTAGAAGAAGGTGTAGGAAGCCAGTGTGAAGGAGGCCTGTGCAGTAAGTGGGGTGTTCCTGGAGGGCCCGGCCCAAGCGTGGGGGCGCGGCCTTTCCTGGACACAGATGTCCCTGGGCCTCTGCCTGGAGCTCAGGCCAGGTGGGCTGTGTCATCTGAGCTGAATGCAAAGTATGTGATGGCAGGAAATGCCCGCAGTGACTGAAGACCCCGCAAATCTGTTCTGCCTTCTTAACACCTCATGAAGGCCCAGGCTTGTAAAAACAAGACATTGCTTTCCTCCCTTCTTCTTTTGATTCGTTTCCTTCTTAAAAAAAAATGTTTTCATTCTGCATTTACTGAGTGTTTCTTTTCCTATTTTTTTATTGCTATTTTTAAAATCTGCAGATGTAATGTGACATGCCTTATGTAACGCAAATCAACTTCCTGAGTTCTCTGTTCATCAAATATTTACTGAGTACGCACCCCTTGCCAGGCACGGTCCTAGGCGCTGGGGACAAGGGGTGAATAAAATAAAGGTCCCTGCTTAATGCCTTCTTCACCTTCTCTTTAGCCAGTCCTGCCTCCTAAGGATACCCACTGTTTGTGTGTGTTCTTTTCAGCGTCTGAGCACACACACACACATACATACGCAGAGGTACTTTTTAAAAAAGTTTTTGTTTGTTTGTTTTTTATTTAAATGGTTCTTTCTTCCTCCTTATAAGTACCTTATAGAATGACTTCACTTTTTTTCACACCTACATACCAGTTCGTTGTAGGGATATGACAAAATGTATGTAACCAATTGCCCCATCAACAAACACTTAACCAAATGCAGCTATAATGGTCATGACCTCCTCATCCAGATGTATCTGCCTTCCTGTGTACTTCTATGGTAATGCTGGAAGTAAAGTTTCTGGGTTGAAGGAAAAATATACTTTAAAGCTGATAAGTAATTTCTTGCCTTTGAACCCACAAAAATTCAACCGCCTCATTTATCACTGGTAGTCCTAGCAGTCCTTCCTAAAAAAGTCCATAATACTTTCCAGAACAGCTCCACTAAGCATCCAGTGTTCCTGCAAGGTGTGTGCGCCCTGGAGAGCTGTGGCGGTGCAGGGGCACGAGCATCGTAGGGAGAGCTGCAGCAGAGATCAGCCCCGGCTCGCCCGTCACACCAGCATTCCCATTTTACACACTCGCTCTCCCAAAGGACCCCAGTGACTCGGGGTAATCGAGCCCCTGGGTGTCACAGAAGCCTGATCCCTCTTTCATTTGGAGGCATGCTTACCTGTTTCGGAAACCTTAGAGTCTTTTCACAGACGATTCTGGCGTTGGCAGGTGGGTCTGGGAATTCGTAGACTTGGGCAGTGGCTGGTGGGGGCCCCTCCACCCAGCTCTTCATCTGCTCATATATGGGGCCTGGAGCTGGGGAGCAGGTCAGGGTGGGCACCTGGTAGGTCTCCCCAGAGCTGCAAAGAGCTTTCTCCAGGCCTTGCAGGAAAGGAGGACAGGGCCTGTCCACAGGGGCGCCCGGGAGGACCTGGAGGCGGTTGGCAGGGGCCAGGCCTTGCCTCCCGTGGAGCACGCACTTCCACCAGCCCTCACTTTCCGGCACGTTCTGTTCCAGAATGGTCAGGATGTCTCCTCTGAAGAAAGCCAGCTCGTCCGAGCAGTCGGGGCGGTTGTCGTAAAGCGCCCTGGCCAAGAGTGCCTGGGGTGGGGGAGAAAGGATTCACTCTTATCCCTGTTGTCAATGACATGGCACCCACACCACTCCCCAGAAACGTCACGGCACATTCGCAGCCGCTGTGTGGTCTGGTCACCTCCAGAGGCTCTGCTCTCTGCCTGACTTATTCCTACCCACTCTTGGGGTCTCAGGTGAAATGTCGCTTCCACTCTCCCAAATATGCTCTCGTGGCGCTGTTTTAATTTGTGGTGACTATGACCCTCCTAGCTACAAGGCTGAGAGCAGTGTAGCATACAGTCGTGTTGGAATCTCGGCTCGCTACGTGCCCTTGAGAAAACTGGCCACTCTCTCTGGGCCTCAGTTTCCTTGTTTGTAAAATGGGAATATCGGTCATATCTGTCACCTGGGGTGAGAATTAAATGGGTTGATATGTACATAAAGCCCATTGACCTGTGCCTGGCATTTAGTAAGTGCTCAGTAAAGGATGGCTGTCACTGTCACAATTATTATATTGCTCTTTATCTGGTTGTTGCTATTTTTCTCCTACATTGGACTGTAAGTTCCGTGATTGCGAGAACCATACCTCGCTTATCTGCTGCTCTGTCGCCGGCAGCAAGAGCAGACCCAGGTGCATAGGAGATGCTCAGTGAAAGGTCTTTTATTCATGAGCAATGAAGCAGACACACTGCTCTCAAACCCCCAAATCACCTTGTTGCAATGGCAGCGAAGGTTATGCCTGTTTGAACGTCTGCTCTAATTCAATGAAGGCAATTTGTTTCTGTGGGTGCTAATCTAACCACTTGTTATTATATCAATGTGTATTTACTACCAAAAAACTAGGAAACAGAGACAAGCAAAAAGAAGAAAGTGAAGCTGCCTGTAATTCCACCACTCAGAGGTAACTATTCATACCATCTGGGATTTCTCCTTTCAGTTGCTTTTCTCTTTCTTTAACTAAATTTACTTCATTATATTTTTTCATTATATTTTTATACCCTCTTTCCCCTAGTACATAAAGTTTATAAATAATATAAAGCCAAAATGACCAACCCTCCCATACTTTGATGAAAAGTGTTGCTTTAATCTGCATGTTTTTCTGTTACCAAAATGGAATTGGGTGGCCAACTGCTGGAAAACACCATCTTAAACACATGGTCAGGTGTGTGTGGATTTAGGGGAACACTGTTACATGTATGTCTGAGAAGCATATGTAGAATTAGATCCTTCATGCAAATAGACACTGAAAATCTCCCATAAAATCTATTGCAACTGAGATTCTAGGAGATCATGAACAAGTTTTGTACATGAAACCTTTTTCTTACTACAAAAGCAGTAACAGTTCATTGATGAGAATACAAAATAATGATAAAATGGAAGAAATAAAAATGCCTACAGTGCTGCCAACCACAGGTGACTGTTCATTCCTTCAGTTTGTGTCTTTTCAGATCTGTGCATGTTTGTTCACATATATATACCTAGAGCCACAGTTGTATTTTCAAAACTTAATGGGGTCATATGGTACATACAGTTTTGCAATTTGTTTTTCTTCCCCACTTAAAAATAAGATTGAGAACATCCTTCCATGCCACTACACAATCTTCAGTATCCTTTTCAATAGCATGGTTTTCCATTGTATGGATAAACCAGACTTGTTCTTCCTGGTTTGGGGGCACTTCAGCTAATTCTAATTTTTAGCTATTACAAACAATGCTGAAATGATCACCTTCATCTTTACAGCTAAATATTTGCAACTTGCCTTCTTTATTTCCACAGATAAACTTCTAGGTGGGAAGTCCTACAAATCTTTGGGACTTCTCCCTCTGGGCTGGCTTTTGCCTTCCAGCATGACCCGACTCATTTATACTTCCGCCCACCTGAACGCCCACCTCTTCTGCCTGTTTCTTCACGCCCTGATGGACCCTGGGCATCAGCTCTCTTTTGGATCGTGGCTTTGTATTAAAATCTTTGTAGGGGAAACTCGAAATGTTTTAATATGTTTTTGGAAACACCCAGACTGTCCCAAATTACAGAACTGGCTGCAGCCTTCATGCTGTGAGCAGATGTCTTTGGCCGCTTGGGAGGGGTGCCACTTCTCTGCTGTGCTCCGCTGTTAACTAATTTTTAAAAGGAAAGTGGTCCTGCAGACTTATGGGCACCCGTATTATGAAGGGTGTTCCTGCCTGTAGGGATTTCCTCTCTCAGTCATGGTGAACCAGAAATCCTCAACTGGGAAGGATAGTAAAGTCTCACTGTCTGAGGTTGAGTGAGCTTACGAGATTTAAATTGAAGGGCAGAGAGCTGAGTTAGAGCTGATAAGTACTGACTGCCTTCTTAGCGTCAGGCGTCCCATGAAGTGATCCCTTGGGCCGGCCATCCGTTCCCGCACAAATGCAGCCAACCTTTATGGAATGTGTATGAGGCACGCACTGTTCCACTGATGAGAGTTCACGAGTTCTGACGGTCACTCCCCTGCCTATGCTGCTTGGACGGCTTCCCGGTACCCTTAGCCACGAAGCCCCAGCTCTGTCCAAACCTTCCAGGTCCCGTGTGTTCTGTTCCCGCCAGTGTTTCCAGCCTTATGGCATCACTTCCTCACCAGCCCCACATGAGCACCACCCTCTGGGGGCTTGAGTCCTTGGCACATGCTGTTCCCTCTACCCAAGACGGTTAGCAGTGAAATCCTGCTCATCCTTTCAGGCTGGTCTTAATGTCCCTTCCTTGGAAAGGGCTTCCTTGACACCCAGACCTCCCCAGACTAAACCGGTTCTCCCCATTGTTTTGCTCAATACCTCTTCATGTCAGTAACTTAGGACACTGATACGTAATTCACTAAGCGGCTGTCACCTGTGGGGCCTCTGTCTCCCAGCTACAGCAGAAGCTCCAGGAAGGAGAGGTCACACCTTCTTCCTCGGGGCACCTCCAGCCCGCAGTAGGTGCTCCCTGACTACTTGTGGAGTGAGTGGCTGGATAAGGATGAGTAATGGAGTGCCTCAAGTCTTTGGGAGGTAAGAGACAGACAGCCCCAAGGGCTCCTACTTCTGTCTAAAGCAGGGTAAGAAAAAAAGCTTTCTTTGACCCTCTGCCCATCTTCTTAGGTGGGCTTCAGTGAGAATGACAACCAAGGTGTCCCGAAGATGGACCTCGGAGCCGGGTGTCTGCTCACTCATTATCGTCCCGTGAATATATGGGAGTGGGCTTCACATGAATGTGGGCACTAAGCTCGGAGAATCTAGCAGAGATGAAGCATTTAGAGGGAACAGTTTTAGAATCTTAGAAAGAATATTGATTAAAGGTCAAGACTTTGTGAAGTACATGCTACTTGGCAGACTTGTTCCCAGTTCAAGAGGCACATGATTTCTGCTCAGTAAAAAAAGATAACCTGAAAGGTTATGGTTAGTTAGCTTGCCAGACTTTAGCCAGACCTGTAACTAGCCCTGCAATCCCATCCTAACATTCCTTTATTAAACTGCCTAGGAATACCTAGATCCTCAAGTGCCCTTTGACCTGTTTTTAACACTTGGTTGGTTCTCTCACTAACTGACCAGTTAATAAGATCTTTGACATGAGTTCATTTTATATTTGCACAACAGTTATGATTTTACCTTTTCAGAAATTATACTTTAACTGTCCGTACTGGGAAGAAAAGGGAAAATAACACAGTCTCCAGCCAATCATCACAATTCCCAGGAAATATACTTAACACATTCTTAAAAGAAAAAGTGCATCATCTGAAATGTGCTTGCATTTGTCTGGAAATAAGATATGTTCTGTGTGTTCAGAGAGAACAGCTGGTGCACTATGGCAGCTGCTTGGAAGTGTCCCGACTGGCATCAGCTTAGCTGGTGGGCTTGCCTATTGTGAAAGGCAGGGGTATCTTCCCAGAGAACAATGGGCTTGTATGACCACCCACTCCACTGGCACCCACAGCTGTCCAAGATGGAGAGCGACAGTCTTAATCTGGAGACACAGTTTTCTTTGTGCTTACAGCCCGCAGCCTGCAGTACAGCAGCTCACACTGTGCAACAGCTGGCAGAGGGGAAAGCATGTAAACTCCCCGCAGGAGGAAATCTCAAGCACGTTGCTGTGGATTTCCTTCTGAATGGTATTTGGTTATAATCAGCAGGGGTGTCTCTGGGCAGAGGTGTGTATGGACATCTCATGCGATCAAGTAATGTGTCCAAGTTTTAATAACAAAGACCATCTAAGTTTATGTTACAAAGAATCAAGCACATGTGAGAAGCCTTGGAGGTTTTCTCACCTAAAAGAAGGGAGATTACAGTGGGCTCTGTTGAATGACAGCCTGTTTTCCTTGGGTGCACTGAGGTCATTATGTCACTTAATTCTCAGAGGCCTCAGAGGAGGATTTTCTTATCTCCATTTTAAAGATGAGAAAACTGAGGATCACAGAGGTCAAGGACTCAAGTAAGGTCACTTGGACTCTAACCGCTCTCTTCACATCCATTTTCACACCCTCCCCCTTACAATTTATTCTCCAGACACCAGTCAGAACATTTTACATACCTAAATCAGATTGTGTTGGTAACTTGTTAAAAAATCTCCAGTTGCTTAGAACTGCACTTGAACAAAACCTACACCCCTCACCTGATCACCCTGCCTGATTGGCCCCCTGGCCCACTCCTCCTGTTTCTCTCCAGCCAGGTTATTGTCTTACTTTTCTGGGATGCACTCAGCTTGCTTCCACCCCAGGACCTTTGCCCTGGGTGTTCCTCCTGCTCAGACTGCTTTGCGTGGCTGGCTGCTTCTCCTGCAGATCTCAGCTCACGTCACCTCCTGCAGGGGTTTGTCCCTGACCACCCACGTAAGGCTAGGCTCCTCCCCCACATGCAAGCAGGACTTGGAGGTGCTGATTCTCTAGGCATATTGAAGAAGGAACCCAGGCAGGGCAGGCCAGGCTTTTATTGACAGGCTGGTGCTGTGGGGAGAACAAGAAATAACTGCAGCAAATACTCATTCTGCAGCTAGCTTCCTGGCACTGTGCTAAGCTCTCTATAGATAACAGGTGGAAGTGATTGTCAGGCCACTGCAAGGGACAAGCGTGATTGTCACCGAGGCTACTCACAAGGTACTTCTTAATAGGGTGTTAATATGGAAACACCCGCATAGGTATTTAAGAGATGAAGGAGATGCACATTTTTATTTTTGTCTCTGCAGGCACACAGGCAGTGAGATTCTGCATGCAATGGAAGAAACCTTTCAAGCCAATTTCCCAAAAGGGCATTTCCCCCAAATGCCCATCTCTAGCTGGGAGAGGGGAAAGGAAAATGAATAGGCACGGGGAAAGAGTTTAGGGAGACAAAGGCAAAGAATAAGATTCCCCTCTGGGGAGACCTTCACGCAACTGCCAGTTGCAACACGCTAACCGGTGTCAAATCAGCAATGAGTCGTGGGAGTAATTAGCTATGAACAGAGAGATGTGGGGTGCCATTCTTTCCTTCCTTCCTTCCCCTGGACTGTACTGAGCCCCAAGCATATGCCCAGTGCTGTCCTGGAGAGAGAGCAGGAAACAGAGCAGCTCCTGACCTCATGCTGATACACTCCGGAGGACACAAACTCCCAATAAAATTTTCATGGAAATAAATCTACGGTTTCTATATCTCTTCAGTGCAATGAGGGAAAATAAAGGAAGTTATGAGAAATCATGGGCACAGTTGGGAAGCAGTGATGGAGGATGGCTTGGGGAAAGTTCCCGTGAGAAACGGCCCGTGGATGTTGTGATCTGGGGGTGAGTAGGAGTTAGTTAGACCAAGAGTGGGGGAGAGATCATCCAGGCAGAGGAAGAGAAATGTGTGAGTCGGGAGGGAGGGAGGAGTGTGTGTGTGGTGGGCGGTGAGCCGGAGGAACTGAAAGATGAACAGGCCGGCTAGAGAGAAGTAAACAGGATCGGGACCTGATTTCTATATTGGCTGTGGTTTATGTGCGGCTGCCGGGTGGAAAAGGGACGGGAGGGAGCCGGTGGGGGCCAAAGAGGCGAAAGCCAGCCGCCCAGCCTGGGTGGGAGAAGCCCATGCCTCAGGTGAGGGTGGAGGCAGGGTTTAGGAGAGCTGTGGGGAGGAGGTGAAGGACTGAGGGCAACCTTTCAGGTGAGTCTTGAAAGAGGGCAGGCCTGCAACTGTCGGAGAAGGGAGGAGGGACGCACGGCGGACCAGGTGAAGTAAGAAGCAGAGAGAGGACTGCTTCCTGTCTGCAGCAGTGGCGTAAAGACCCAGCAGCCACAGCTACAGTTCCGGGCAGAACCAGAGAAGACCCACCTGTCACCCGGAGGAATGCCACCTGCTGAAGCTTTGGTTTTTGTCCTTCTTCACCATTCCTATTGCCAGGATGGTGGTCCCCTCTCTAGACCGGGAGGGTGGGCACAGCTCCCCAGGGACTCAGTAACTCTCCGCAAAAGCAAGCTCAGCTTGCCTTAATGCTTTACCTTCCATTTTAATTTTCTTCAGTTAATTTGAAAGAACAAAGATGCAGAAACTCTGAATGTTAGAGCTGGATGGAAGGCCTTGGACATCATCTGCTCTGTTTGTCTCATTTTAGAGCTTTGTGGTGCCTGAGACTAGGAGGGGGTAAGTGACCTGACTAAGGGTACACAGCAGCAGACAGCAGGGCAGATTCAAACTTGCCAATTCACTGCACAGGGTCCCCAAGTCCAAGTCAATCCCGTACTCTAACCTGCTAACGTCCAAATGTGTGTACATTAGAAGGAGCCAGTCTGAAGACATCTACAGGCAGGAGCATCAACTCAAAGAATTATAGGAGTTGGGCAAGAAGTATATGTAAGTGGGCAGGCCAGGTGTGAGACACTTGGGAGTGGTTGAGACTGTGGCACACTCAGGCAGATTTTAAAATACAACTACCTGGGCCCAGTGAAGTATCTGCTGCTGAGTCCAGCCCACTGCGGAGGTCTGGTCTGAAAGGCTCCGCCTTTGTTTCCTCTGCAAACAAATTTAATAGGCA